AACCAAAACCATAATGAGATATCATCTCACACCTGTTAGGATGGCGATTCTCAAAAAGACAAGAGATAGCAAACCTCAGAAGGGATTTGTATAAAAGAGAACTCTTATACACTGGTGGTGAGGATGTAAATTGTTACAGCCATAATGGAAAATAGTATGGCATTTCCTCAACAAATTAAAAATAGAACTAACACATGGTCCAGCAATCCCACTTCTGGGTATATATCTTAAGGAAGTGAAATCAGCATCTAGAAGAGATATCCTCACAGCCAAGTTCATTTCAGCATTATTCACATCGCCTGGGATAAAGAAATGACCTAAATGTCCTTCAATAGATGAATGGATAAAGAAAATATGTATATTTATAATTATTAAGCCTTAAAAAGAAGGAGATCTTGCCATTTATAACAACATGGATGAACCTAGAAGGCCTTATGGTAAGTGAAATAAGCCAGACAAAGACAAATACTGTATGGTGTCACTTACATATAGCATTCTAAAAAAAATGAAAAACAGCTAATTTCGTAGAAGTAGAGTATAGAATGGTCATTGCTATGGGCTAGAAGGAGGGTGAAAGGGGGAGATGTAGGTCAAATGATACAACTTTCAGTTACAAGGAGAATAAATTCTGAGGATCTAATGTATAAAATGGTGAATACAGTTAATAATTCAGTATTGTATATTTGAAAGTTGTTGAGGGTAGATCTTAAGAATTCCCATCACAGACACAAAAAAGTTAACTATGTGAGGTAATAGATGTGTTAATTATCCTGATCTGGGTAACCATTCCACAATGTATATATATATCAAATAGTCACATTGTACACTTTAATTATATACGATTATATTTGTCAACTATTCCTCAATAAAATTGAGGGAAAATAAATAAATAAACTGCAGTTATACACACACACACAAAATCTATGTATTTATTGATCCACAATATGACTTGCTATCTACATCCAAGTATTTAATTTATATACATATAAATGGTAAAATACTTAATTTTAAAATGTGATTCTTTCCAAATGAACATGGTAATTAATGTCATACACTTTAGTGACATCTATTCTTGTTTGAGAACATAATAAAAATTGTCCACTGTTTAGTTATTTTTTTGCTTTGTTTTTTGGTGATGAAGATTGGCCCTGAACTAACACCTCTTGCCAATTTTACTCTTTTTTTTCCTCCCAAAAGCCCCAGTACATAGCTGTATACCCTAGTTGTAAGTCAGTCTAGTTCTTCAATTTGGGGTGCCACCACAGTATGGCTTGATGAGTGGTGTGTAGGTCCGTACCCAGGATCCGAACCGGCGAACCTCAGGCCACTGAAGGAGAGTGCAAGAACTTAACCACTTGGCCATGGAGCCGTTCCCCATTAGTTATTTTATTTATGTGTGTCCTTTTAAACAAAACTGAATTTTCCTTGAAGTAAAAAGGACAGAGCCATTTTCATCATTTTATTTTTGACAGCACAATGTATTAGTCTTTCTGTATAGCGTATTTTCAATAAACATTGCATACTAGTTAAAATATTGATTTAGTTTTATAAGTTATAAAGTAAAACAAAAAAATACCAAAACAAAACTGAACTATTTATTATGTGTTAGGCACAGACTAGGTCCTTATGTACAATGTTCAATTTACTTATCACCAGATTTTTCTGTAATATTATTATTACATATGATAGATGAATAAATCAAATTTTAAAAAATAAAGTAATGTAACTTGAAACAGAATTCTAAAATCAATAATTTTTTCATGATTGTTCCCTTGCTTGAAAATATTATTTCTAAGTAAACATCACAGTAATGGAAATGAGGTAAGGCAGCCTCAGATAAGGTAAAATTCTGGAAAAAAGCAAAAAAGACAATATGTTTGCAAATATTTTGCTTCTGATTCTATCTCACTCTCTCTTTATAGAAAATTAATTTACAAGTTAAATTAAAAAGATTTTTTTTTCTATAAAGAGTGATACAAAGTGAGGGGCAAAGTTCATGGAATCTTACAGCATTTAACTAACATTAATATCATCAAAAACGAAAAGAAACGTTCAACGTAATAACCAATGCTCTGTCTGTTTAAGAAGAGAAAAAATAGTACTGATCCTGGACAGATTAAGATATTAAATGCATAATAGTCATTACTAACAAATCAAATGGGTGTCTAGTTAATATTTAGAGATCTGCATCAAACATATCACGTAAGTATTTTGTTTAGAAAGTGCCTCCCAGATTTCTTTTTGAGTCTTATTGCTGGAAAAGTGAAGAATACTTGAAGTTGAAGCAAAATGAAATCTCCCACGTAAATTATCTATGTCAGCTTTTGGCAGAAATTGCATTTGTCATCTCATCATATCATTCTCTGTTAATTATTCCAGAAAGAAAGCTTCCTGGGAGAAAGCTTTTGGCAGCAAAGTAGAGACCAGTTGACTTAGAATAAAAACAGGTTTATAAATCAAGCCAGGAGTCAAAAAAATTGTTTGACTGTAATGACAAGACACATTTTACAATTGATTATCTGGAATTAATTACCATCTTGTCAGGGATCTACAGAAAAAGCTGCATCCTAAAATCTTCATCTCTGTTTGAAACTTCCTTCTGTTTGCTGAGAGTAGTTTTAAGTAGAAAAGTTACTAATTTAACAGATATTGTGCTGACCTAGTAGAATCTAAAGGAAGAAAGGTAAAGGCTTACTTATGACACATATAAACAAAAAATATATAACTGTTCACACGCATACAATTAATTTCTTGAAATAAACATTAGTTCAAAGCTTATTAATTTTCATAACATTAAATGTGAATTGATGAGGCATGAATTGAATATGTGGATTTCAGTGTAATGGGTTAAGTGCTTTAATTTCCCTGTGTGGTAATGAGTGGACACTGGGGTTGCAGATTTAGGGTGGTTTTATAGGGTAGGGTGGGACAAAGTCTCTTGTACAAAGTTGTCTTTTTATAGCAGCATACTTTTCTTCTCTTCCTACAGGGCAGAGAAAAACAGGTGTGTGTGTGTTTCCCTAAATATCCCCATCCCTCCACTAAGTGCTTAGCAGAATTATCTCGTTAAACATACATCATTCTTTGGTTACCCTACAGATAAAAGGAAATTAGTTAGTGGCTTAGAGTGAAGCCCCCGGGAGGCTTTATCAGAAAAAAAACATATGTAGGTACAAGAAGGATGAAGAATTTAGCTCACAGTAGTTCACATACTGGGGGGTTAATAAGCATGTTATAGTTGAAGAAAGCAACAAACACAAAAAGTTCCAGAGAATTCATTTCATTTTGTTTCTCCTTCAAGTGCATTTTTCCATTACATATTTATTTATTCTTTTCTAGAATTGCTCCCTCCTTTTTTTCAAGTTTCAATCCTTTACTCCAATGATTCTGAAACTTTAGTATGCATCAAAATCCCTTAGAGGACTTGCTAAACTAGAGATTGCTGGACACTTCCTCCAGAATTTCTAATTTGGTGGATCTAGAATGCACCCACCCTTCCAGATGCCGCTGCTGGTGGTGTAGGAACCAAACTTTGAGAACCACTGCTGGTCTGGGAACCACATTTTGACAACCACCACCTTGGTGACTCTTTGTCGTATACATACCACTTTCCTTTAATCCATGATCACCCAGAGTATTCCTGTATCTCAGGGAAGACATTAACATTTCAGAACAATCATTACCCATTCATGAAGACCTTTAATAATGTTTAGTATTTATACTGTGCAGGCATTGTGCTAGGGTAGTGTGGCTTGCCAAGCTTTACCAAGAGGAGCTCCTGACCCAGGCACCTTATATACCTCCTGCTCTGAACCTTTTGCCTACCTGCCTTGAAGAGGGCAAGGAACCAAAAAAAGGGCATACCTAACTGCAGCCGGCATCTACTTTTCCAGACCATTTTCTAGACCAGGCCTTGGGATTCACTGCTCAAACAGCTTTGAGAGTGTCCAGTCTTAGTAGGTTTCTTCCATAGGGCTGTCCTCTCATGAGCAGACAGTGGGACCGCTGTGCAGACCCTCATCCTGTGGTGTGTCCAAGAGCAATATTTTTTTGGAGGATGTGGACAGAACTTAGACTTTTGGGCTGAGTGTCCACACACATACATGGGGGCCCTGTGGTGCAAGATCTACCCAAAGATAGGGAGAGAATGAAGACAAACTGTGGGCCTTGAGCCAGCAATCCCCACACCACTATATATCTGTTTAGAGAGTCTGAGGATTCTACATTTGAATCTGGCCTTCAAGGTCATTGTAAGGGTACACTGGTCAAGACTGAAAGATAAATCATATTTTATTTAACAATTTCTTCAACTTTACTCTTAATGTCTAAAAAATAGACCTATGGCATATATAGCTCCATTTGTACTCACGGTTTAGCCTCCACAAATATTAAGGACAGAGTTAAGTGTAAGGATTCAAGATGAGTAAATAGAAGCTACTTAATTTTAACAAAGTTTCTAATTCAGAAGATAAATTTTGTATATATCTATGAATCCATTAATTCACTTATTACACATTTAGAGATAAATGTTAAAAGTTCTAGATAATATATGTTGACAATTCTGTAGTAAATTAATGTGATATGAACAGCCAATATTAGATTCTTCCCTGTAAATGAGCTTTATTTGGACTGAGACAGTAGAAGCAGAGAATGAAAATGCTGGACATATGGACTTAGGTGAAGGGGCATACCAAGCAAAGGGATTAAAGGTTAAAGGCCTCAGAAAATAGAGGTTAGGGGACGTATTTTCCTGCTGTATGAGGACATTAGGGTTTCAGGTATGGTACAAGAAACAGAAAACCCTATTCCAACTGGCTTATATGGTATTGAGACTTTATTAGATAAAAAGGCAAAAGATAAGGTAGGGTTGAAGATGGTTTGATCAGGATTCTAGTCCTTGGTTTTGGGTCTTATATTGATCTACTGGTGATATCTGGCTGATATATCAATCAGCTTTTTCCTCAAGTTCACTTCTTTTCTTTCTTTCTATCCCTCTGTAGTCAACACCATCCAAGATAGACCCTATATGTCCTGGACTGACAGGTAAAAGTCCTTGAGCTTTACACAGATTGCACCCTCCCCTCCCCCAACCCATCCCTGTAGTCAGGGGAAGGCTATTTGTAGATTAGCTAGGCCTAGGTTAACACATCAGGTAATAAACACGGGAAATGTGATTATTCTGATTGCTTTGCGATAGTCAGTACTCAATTGAGGTGGAGGTGGCGTCAATTCCACTTAAACTTCATCATGGGTAGGCAAGGTGGTTAGAATGGGAGTTGGAGAAAAAACACACTGTGTATCACAGATGTTCTATAATTTGCCAGTGTGAGCTCTAATTTTTTGCTCTTGAAGACAAGTTTACTCTACTTCAGATAAAAGATGGGATATTGCCACCAATTAATCAGGAAATACATATCACACATTTTCTAAAGTTAGTTGAATCTTAGTTCTAAAATTTAATCTGACTAATAAAAATATTAATTTCAGGATAGCGTGGGAAATTTTTTTAAAATAATTTTGACTTCATTGCTCTTTCTTTTCAGAGAAAAGTACACATAACTTGTATGTGTTCATAGTACACATAGTTTATAATTTTATATTTTAAAAACCAGACATTCTGATTATTTTACAGTCAGTTCTCACTTCGATTTACTTGTATATTTTTCAATTTTTTGCTACTATATTTTGCCACTATTCCTTCTTGCAATTCTTCTTTCTATTCCATTTTTTTCTACTTAAGTATATCATTTACTATTTATTTAACAATAATAATAATATTTAGTAATTATCTCTCTCAATATAAACTTTAAATCATTTATTCTCTCTTTAGTTTACATCATCAATTATTTAACTTATTGTGGCGGATGTTACTGTTTCAACTTCTTGGGACATGGCTGCCCAGCTAGAGATTAAATTCCTCTGCCCCGTAGATAGGTGTGGCCCTGTGACAAAGTTATCTTCAAGAGAATATGAACATAAGGGTTTGTGCAAATACCTCACTTGCATACATGGAAATTGCTTGAGGTGGACTCTATCTCTTTCCTTCTATAGGTTATTACTCGTACTTGACAGGCATCTAGAATCTAACACGGAAATGAGGACAACTCTCTCAGGAGTAGAAGAAAGATGGAAGAATCTGGAATTCTAAATAATGTGAGCCATATCCACCTTTCCAGGCTAGAACACTTTCTTCCAGACTACTATGTGGCAGAAATTATGACATACATGTTACCAGAATCGATATAATTTTTAACAAAATTTTGTATTTTGGGATAATTGAAGACTCGTATACGATTGTTAAGAAATAATACAGAGAAATCTCATATATCCTTTACCCAGTTGCACCAATAGTAATATCTTGCAAAACTATAGTAAATATTACAGGTGTGATTTTCTTTATTTTTGTATTGTCTTTGTCTGGTTTGACATTAGAGTAATACTAACTTCATAGAATTAATTGAAATGCATCCCACCTTTTCCGTTTTATTTAAGAGACTGTGTAGAATTGGTGTTAGTTCTCCATCAAACGTTTCATAGAATTTGCTAGTGAAATAAATTGAATGAGTAACTATATATTTTTTGGAGATCGTATGTTATAAATTCCATTTCCTTAACAGAATATTTGAATTATCTATTTCATGGTGGGTGAATTATGATAGTTTGCATCTTTTTGAAAGATTGCTCCATTTCATGTAAATTGTCAAATATATGGGTACAATTGGTCATAGTGTTCCCTTGTTATCTTTTTGATGTCTGCAATGTCCATAGTGATACCTGTTATTTCATTCTGATATTGACAATTTGCGTCTTCCTTTTTTCCTTATTAATCTTGTGAGAAACTTGTTAAATTTGTTAGTTTTAAGATACATTTCTTTGGTTAATTTATTTTCTCTATTGTTTTACTGCTTTCAATTTCATGAATTTATCCTCTTGTTTTTATTCCCTTCCTTCTGCTTGTTTTGCATTTATTTTGTGCTTCATTTGCCAGGGTCTTGAGGTGGTATCTTAGATTATTGATTTCCCATATTTTCCTCTCTTCTAATATGCACATTCATGCTATAAATTTTCCCCTTAGCACTGCCTTAACTGAGTCCCACACATTTAATATGTTGCATTTTATTTCTTTTTTTTTGCTGAGGAAGACCCCCCCAACCTAACATTTGATACCTGTCTTCCTCCTTCCGCTTGTGAAAGATTCACCCTGAGCTAACATCTGTGCCAATCTTCCTCTATTTTGTATGTGGGTCGCTGCCACAGCATGACTGATGAGTGGTGTATGCCCACACTCGGGAACCAAACCTGCGAACCTGGACCACTGAAGGGGAGCATACCAACTTAACCACTAGGCCACAGGGCCGTTCCCAGATATGTTGTATTTACAATTGTATTGTGTTCAATTTTTTTAAATTTCCCTTGAGACTTTTGCTTTGACCCATGAGTTACTTGGAATCATGTTGTTTAGTTTCAAGTTTTGGAGTTTTTCCTATTATCTCTATGGTATTAGTTTCTAGATTAATTATATTGTGATCACCATCTGTATGATTAAATTTCCTTTAAATTTATTGAGACATGTTTTATGGTCCAGGATATGTTCTATCTTGATATATTTTCTGAAGGAAAAATGTGTGTATTCTGCTTGCTGTGGCTTGAATATTTATGTCTCCCCAAAATACTTGTGTTGAAATCTTAAGCCCAAGGTGATGGTATTAGGAGGTGGGGCCTTTGGGAAGTGATTAGGTCATGGTGGTGGGGGAGAGCCTTATGATTGGGATATAAAAGAGACGTGAGAGAGTTAGCTTGTCCTTTCCACACAGGGAGAATCTGCCATCTATAAACCAGAAACTGGACTCTCATCAGACACCAAATCTGTCAGCACCCTGATCATGGAGTTCCCAGACTCCAGAACAGTGAGAAATAAATTTTTGTTTATAATCCATTGAGTTTATGGTACTTTACTATAGCTGCCTGAACAGACTAACCCACTATTGCTGTTGGGTGAAGTGTTCTATAAATTTCATTTATCTATTGGTCAATGGTACTTTTTTATATCTTTGCTTGTTTTCTGACTAGTCCATCTATCAATTATTGAAAGAGGGGTATTGAAACCACCAAATATAACCATGAAAGGTATATTTTTCCTTTTAGTGCAATAAGTTTTTGATTCAAATAATCTGCAGTTCTATTTTTTGGCACACATACATTTAGGATTGCAATGTCTCCTTGGTGGGCTGACCATTTTAGCATTATGTGATGTTCCTTTCTTCTCTGGAAATTTTCTTTACCCCAAAGTATAACTTATTAATATAAATATAGCCACTGTTGCCTTCCTTTGATTAACATTTACATCATGTATTTCTTCCATACTTTTACTTTCAACTTGCCTATAATCATTATATTTAAAGTGATTTTCTTGTCAACAAAACATAGTTGGATCATGTTTTTCAATCCAATTTTCCAATCTCTGTCTTGTAATTTGTGTATTTTAGACTATTTATGTTTTATGTGCTTATTGACATCTTAAGACTTAGGTTTGCCATTTTAGATTTTGTGTTTGCTCTTGCTGTTTTCTATTTCTTTGCTTCATTTTTCCTGCCTTGCTGTTGGTTATTTGGACAATTTTTAGAACTCTATTTAGTAGCTTAATTATCAAAGATAGTACAGACTCTGGTTCGGATCACAGCATAGGGAGGAAATATGGCAGATAAAACAGAATACAGCTGGGGCTGGCCCCGTGGCCAAGTGGTTAAGTTCGCGTGCTCCGCTGCAGGCGGCCCAGTGTTTCGTTAGTTCGAATCCTGGGCGCGGACATGGCACTGCTCGTCAGACCACGCTGAGGCAGTCTCCCACATGCCACAACTAGAAGGATCCACAACGAAGAATATACAACTATGTACCCGGGGGCTTTGGGGAGAAAAAGGAAAAATTAAAATCTTTAAAAAAAAAAAACAAACAGAATACAGTGGATAAAACTTCATTTTATGTTCGTATAGACCAGGTTTGAATCCAATGTCAGACTTCAGGTAAGTTGTTCCCTTCAAGCATGATCCTTGTATTCTCATTGTAAAATAGAGGTAATAATAGTTCCCTAATCTATATTAAATGAGATAATAAATGTAAAATATTTCATATATTATAATTACTGCTTGAATTAAGTATATGCTGTTGCCGCATAAATTACAGCAAACTTAGTGTTTTAAAAAAAATACATATTTATTAGCTCACAGTTCTGTGGGTCAAAAGCATAGTCACAGCCTGGCTGGATCACTGTCCAGGTCCTACTAAGCTGAAAGTAAGGTGTCACTTGGGCTGTGTTCCCTTCCGGAGGCTATGGGGAAGATTCTTTTGCCAAACTCATTCAGGTTGTGAGCAGAATTTAGTTCCTTGTAGTTGCAGTACTGTGTGCCCGTTTTCTTCCTGGCTGTCAACCACGTGGTGTAGCATCACCTTCAAGAAATCACGCACATGCAGATGAGAAAGAGTAACCAAGTAATGAAGCCAACCACACATGTTCTGGAATTTCTACACCAAAAAAAAAAAAAAAAAAAAGTGTGAAAGGGTCATTTAACTAAAACTTAATAAACGATAGCAACAAATGTTTATCCTGTCATTATGATTAAGTACTCAAAAATGTTTAAACCACTATAAAGATAGAAATATTTTATGCATGCATTTCGTTTTGAAACATTTTGTGCCTCTTGATTCCAAAACTATGTCTATTTAGCCATAGATTAAACTTGGAGTACTGTATTAGGTCATTATAATGATAATTATTCTCTCAGAAGAGAATACCAGAAGGATTTAGAAAGTGTAATGCAGATATGACTAGCCAGAATGGTTCTTTAATCTGGCTAGGACTCAGGATCGGCCCAATCAGTCAAGTTTCTGAAAATAACCTGTGCTTGGAGTATTTCTATATGATTCTAATCATTGCAGAAATAGTGAAGAAGAAACAGCTATCGTTTTCAGACTCTACAAATAAGAAAGGGACAATTTCAAGTAGAGCTGTTTGAGTTCCAACTGACATATATATCCTGTTTGCTAATCACGTTTGCCCCGTTGTACAAAGTGACTAGGAAAATAATTCAAAGTGGATCCAGACCAAGATAAACTCCAAGAGTTCTAGAGCGAGCACTACTCATCCAAGCTGTTGCTCTGCAATCTGATGATCCTGAAACAGCAATGGTTTTGGTTCTACTACTAAAACTCTGCAGACTGAAGTTTCTAGCAAAAGCTGACACCGTCAGCTCCTAGAGCCCACCTGCTTTCTTTGGCAAATGACTCACAATGGAGAATGTCCGTCTCACCCTTTGAATCTCTGCCTGCAGGAGGATCCCAGTTCTTTTAAGGGCTCAAATGATTAACTTAAGCCCACTCAGATGATATTTCTTTCTCGAATCTTATGCCAGGTATCATAACCTAATTAAAAGGGTAAATCCCATTTTATTCACAGTTCCTGTGGAATATGTGGGATATGTACACAAAGAGATGAAGATCTTGGGAGCTGGTTCAGAATTCTAATGCTACATATGAATTAGCATTTCATTATAAAGACAACTGAGCATAATCTAACCAGTATACAAATGGACATGCTGGAAATAGTGTAGAGAAAAATATATTATCACACTAAAAATTCTAAACGTAATGAATCTATTGCAGAAGGCTACAGAATTTTATATTTTATTTGCAAAATTGCAACAAAAATGTAATACTATTTCAGAGTGCTACACAATAGCAATAAAGTAACATCAAAAGAAGGAAACCTCCTTACCTATTGGTATTTAAATTGCAGAGTTGTTTTGTTAGAATGCCTAAAATTTGAGTTAGCAGAAGGAAAACGTAAAGCCCTTGAGATGTATATTTGTGAAATGAAGAAGTAAAAATACGTAGACCAACAATGAAAAAGCGTAGACCTAATGCCTGAGTTTGATCTATGGCTAAATGGCTGTAGTCTACTTTGGGATCAAGAGGAAAAAATGGTTTAAAAAAAAATGCATGCATATAATGCTTTTATTATCTTTTTAACTCTTTAAACATTGTTGAGCACTTAATCTGAATTACAGGGTAAACATTTGTTGCTGATGTTTCTTAAGTTTTAATTATATCATATCTGTACGCTTTTTTTTTTTTGGTGTAGAAATTATAGAACTTGTGTGGTCAGTATGATTATTCAGTTACTCTTTCTCAGTCAGTGATGGTAATGTGCATAAAACGGTTCTACATTTGCAAAGTGGTAAACCACAGTGCAGGAACTGAAGATAATCCATCTGAGTTATTATCTATCTTTAGCATTATAAAAAAATCGAACACAGGATTCTGTCAGAAAGCTCATTAAGCAACTGAAAAACTGAATCTAAATCCTGATTTTCAGCTGATT